TTCTTTCTGGATTAAAGAGATATCTTGAGATTCCCCTCATACACCCTAGACAGCTGGGTTTTTGTGAGTGATGGCAGAAACTGGTATGTTTGTGGTCAGCTAGGAGTTGCCAGTATCATCATGCTCTGACCCATTAATGTTGCATTTCACAGACTCAAAGTTTAACCAAACCTCATCTTTTTAATCACATTAAAAATTATTATTATTATTAATTATTAATTGTTGTTGTTTTTGTTGTTATCTCTTTCATTCATTAAACATGAAACTCAGTCAACTGAACATTTAAAAATGTGTCACAAATATGATTGGTGCTAATGGTTGATATGGGTTGCTGCCAACATCCTAGGCATCAACCCAGTATCTTCTTAAAATATATGATGTTCTGAGTAGCGCAGTTTTTTGCAGTTATGCTGGTGTCATTGCAGGAAGCTGCAATTTCTTGATGTGTTTTGTAAAATTCTTGGACATGATACCAAGTGCCCCGATGACAGTAAGTATCACTGTTACATGTTTCATCTATAGCCATGTAGTTTTGATGGCCAGGTCATAATATTTCATGATTTTTTTCCAGTTCCTTTTCTTCGACTGGCGTCTCCTGGTACAGCGATGTCAATAAACTGTATGCTTTGGCCCTCGACAACTGTGATATATGGCATGTTATGTTCCAAATGATGATCCGTCTATATTCGAAAGTCCCACAAGATCTTCACTGTCTCATTTTGTTGTTGTTGTTGTTGTTGTTGTTGTTGTTGTTGTATTTATTTATTTATTTATTTATTTATTTATTTATTTATTTATTTATTTCAGAATGAAAAACCTTCAGAACTGCAAGTCTGGCACTTTATGGGCAAATAACTCTTTGATTTGTTTAAAAATAAAGAAAATTGCATGTTTCCAGCTTTGTAAATTCTTTATTTTCTGAAATATACAACAAAAGGATGCATATAGTATTATTGCTAAAAAGTTTTTAAATGCTAAGAGTTCATATGAATTTGATGTAAAGAAAGACTTTGAAATACAATGAAGTTAATTAGAAAGAACCTCTCACATGGGAGAAATTATCTGCTTACATTCCAAGTTGATAAGAAGACTTGTAAGATTGATCATTAGAGAGCACCATATGGCAATTTTAAAAGGAAGCATTTGATACTTGGATCCAAGAAATGCTTGAGTTATTTAACTGTATGCTGGAACCAAAATCTTTTATTAAGGGTACAAATTTCTTCTAATTTAACTGAAATGGACTTTAAGAGCACTTGAAATAATAATTGATACTTATAATAAAAATATTGGATTTACAAATGGAATTAGATGATTCTTTAAAAACTGAAAAAGTCACACAAACCATGTGGATTACTCTTTTAAATTAAAATTAAATTAATTAGATTGCAAGGAGATCAAATCAGTCAATCCTAAAGGAAATCAACTCTGACTGTTCTTTGGAAAAACAGATACTGAAGCTGAAGCTAAAATACTTTGACGACCTAATAAGAAGAAAAGACTCACTGGAAAAAACTCTGATGTTGGGAAAGTCTGAAGGCAAAAGGAGAAGGGTACAGCAGAGGATGAGATGGTTAGATATACTGTCATCAACATAATGAACATGAATCTGGGCAAACTCCATGAGACAGTGGAAGACAGGGGAGCCTGGTATGCTATGATCCATGAGGTTGTGAAGAGTCAAATATGTAACACTGAAGAACAACAATCTCTGATGATGTTTATGGTTATTTTGTCTGGATAGATTTCTTTTTGGAAATGTTCAAGTGAGCGTAATAAGTTGTTTTGTAATATCTACTGTAGGTTATTACAGTATGTATATAAATAAGAGGTTACTATCTATGTTTAATAGCTTTTAATTTTCTGTAATGCCTAATTGTTAGTAAGGATTAGATTTTGAGATTTAAAGAGGGGGATTGGGGGATTAGGTTTTAAATAGAAAATGGGATTATATATTTATGTTAGGCATTTCTGTTAACTTTTACTGGATCTGTGCTGATTAATAAAGATGAGATGAGATTTTGAATGGAGAAATATTTGGTTGTATTTTAGATGATCATGATAGGTTATTAATTCTGAATATGCTTATGGGAATGATAGGCGAAGTTTCCTTTTTTTCTTTTCTTCTTTTGTGGGAAATATTTTTGCAATTTTCAATTATTTTCTTTTTTTAATGTATTTTTATACTAGGTTCTTGTATCAGTTTTATCTGTTTAATGTAATCCTTTATAAAATTATTGGAAAAAAATATTGTCTTTATATACCAGCTCCCTGTTAAGAGAACCTGCCTATTTCAGCTTCTATCAGTTTCAAAATTTCCTATCTTTCAACTCAATCTTCTTCTGTATTGATTTGAAGATTTTGAGGGGAAATAAATACATTTTTATAAGTATTTTTGCAAGAATATACATGGCTTTTGAACAGGGGTGAAAAGCTCCCAGTTCAGACCAGATCGCCTGATCCGGTAGTGATGGTGGTGGGTGGTTCAGAGAACCAGTAGCAAAAATCCCTGCACCACCACCCCCATGTCCAGCTGAGCTGTGCGAACATCAGAGGCTGTTATTTTTACTTTTAAAAGCATTTTTTCTACAACCTCTTCACCCGAAAGAAAAAATGCTTTTAAAAGTTAAAAAAAAAACTTGGCCATGCCCACCCAGTCACATTACCACCACCACCAAGCCACGCCCACAGAACCGGTAGTAACAAATTTTACATTTCACCGCTGCTTTTGAATATATTTTACTTCCGATGCTCATTTTGGCAACCTGAAACACCATGATGCACATTTATGTATCTTATTTTTGCCAACATATATATGTTATGTTTTCAGGTGATCATTGTATTCACCATCACCACTATCCATAGCACTACCATTAGCTTTCATAAGTAAGCACAATGCTTGAACTTTGAAATTAAGTCCAAGTTTATGTTACATGTAAGTAATGTTGTACTGAAGTCTCTTGCAATTTTTCAACCCCTGTAAAGGGGTTGTTTGGTTTACTACCTTTTTTTCTCAGTGATGTTTTGAACTTACTTTAATATTGGAAATAGTGGAGAGTTGTTGTTAGGGTTTTTGTTTTCTATTTCACATTTGTCCATCACTCTGAAACCTTTTCAGTCTGAAAAAAACATCTGACATTGGAATTGGGAATTTCCTGAAGTGTAGGAAGACAAGGAGGATGCAGACCTCCAGAGACATAACTGTGCATTGCAAGGTAGAACCTTCACCCGCACCACTTCTCACCTTTTCAAAGCATTGGAGCAGCAAATGCACAGGAATAGAAGATCCTTCTGCCAAGATTGCTACCAAAATCAAGTAGCACTGGGTCTTCTCTGCATGTTCAGAAGACCATAAATATGACCCTCGAAGTGTACGCATTATTTTCAAGCAGTGGATTCTGCAGAAAACTTCACAAAGTACACTTCTGAATGATTTACATATTTACATATTCTTATTTAAGGAGGTGAACACTCCACCTTATTCATTAAAAGTCCATAAAAATTGTCTTTTTCTTTGAAAGAGATCACCCCATGTATAATGTTCTATAATATATACTTTCTGAGCAATCCTCTAACCCTAACCTCGAAGTTCCAGAATAGAATAGAATAGAATAGAATAGAATAGAATAGAATAGAATAGAATAGAATAGAATAGAATAGAATAGAATAGAATAGAATTCTTTATTGGCCAAGTGTGATTGGACACACAAGGAATTTGTCTTGGTGCATACTCTCTCGGTGTACTTAAAAAGAAATGATACATTTGTCAAGAATCATAAGGTACAACACTTAATGATAGTCATAGGGAAATAGTCAATATAAATCGTAAGGATACCAGCAAAAAGGTTATACAGTCATAAGTGGGAAGAGATGGCTGATAGGAACGATGAGAAGATTAATAGTAATGCAGACTTAGTAACTAGTTTGACAGTGTTGAGGGAATTATTTGTTTAGCAGAATGATGGCGTTCAGGAAAAAACTGTTCTTGTGTCTAGTTGTTCTGGTGTGCAGTGCTCTATAGCATCGTTTTGAGGGTAGGAGTTGAAACAGTTTATGTCCAGGATGCGAGGGATCTGTAAATATTTTCACAGCCCTCTTTTTGACTCATGCAGTATACAGGTCCTCAATGGAAGGCAGGTTGGTAGTAATTATTTTTTCTGCAATTCTAATTATCCTCTGAAGTCAGTGTCTATCTTGTTGGGTTGCAGAAGGTTACAGTTTTAGAGGTGCAGATGACAGACTCAATAATTCCTCTGTAGAACTGTATCAGCAGCTCCTTGGGCAGTTTGAGCTTTCTGAGTTGGCACAGAAAGAACATTCTTTGTTGTACTTTTTTTATGACGTTTTTGATGTTGGCTGTCCATTTTAGGTCATGAGATATGGTAGAACCTAGAAATTTGAAGGTCTCTACTGTTGATATGGGTTATCTAGTATTGTAAGAGGTGGTAGTATAGGAGGATTTCTCCTAAAGTCCACCATCATTTCTACAGTTTTGTAGAACAAAACCAATATGTGAAAGAGATCATATGCCACACCTCAATCCTTTCTTGTAAGTTTAATTTTGTGCTTTTACAATGTTCACTGTGGTGCTTCTTACTGATGAAGTGATATCACTGTTGAAGTGATATCGTTAGACTACACCAGTCTCCTTCTAACTAAAATAAGCATTCCAAGAAATGTGACAAGTTCACTTTTGCAAAGCTATCATGTGCTTTTCATCACTTGCTAATGGGTACATGAAACAATGAAGATGGATGTGTGTGTGTGGTGGTACCCTTTATATTTTATATAAAATCAAGATCATCACTCCCACGTTGTGAATTCTTGATGTAAGTACAATGAACTTATTATTGGCTTAATTAATGCATTGTTCATTGACTAACACTCATGGAATTGAAAGCATCTTCATAATTGCCAAAGAAAGGGAGGCAGAGGAAGAAACAGAATTATATACAAAAAGAAGCCCACACATATTCTGCTAATGAATATTGCTTCATAGCTTTATTGTTTTTGCAGGCAAGCACCAGCATCAGACATTGAAAAGGTCACTGTAGGTTGTAAACAACCAGATTCTCTTCCCACAAACTCCGTATGTCTTCACCCTTAGTTGACACAGAAATAAACATATCCATTTATAATGCTGTATGCATCCATTATCAAGTGAAGGCAAATCAAGTAGTTTTTCCAAAGTAAATTCTATTAAATAAAAACAAATATTGGAGTTACACAATGCATCTGCATCTTATGCATGTTTACCAAGATTTGAACCACATTCATTTAATTAGACAAATCATTTTGTAATATTTTATTCTGCTAGAAGTTGAACTTGCTAACGCTAGGATTTGTTGTTGTTGTTGTTCTCAAGAAAATTCATTTGCTAAAACAGCTTTTTCTTCAATTTAATGAAGGACTTCCCTAAATAAGCAAGGCTAAAACATACCAATGCAGTATCAACTGGTATGTAATAATTCCAGGATTTGTATTTTTAATTATTACTTGTATCCAATTTTCAGTTCTCCAAGTCTTAAAAGCAGCAGCAGAAAGATACATATCTTAATTAATTTCCTTAATGAAAGGTTTCTACCTTCCTAAACCATCAATCATTTTGCCTGAGGACAATTAAGCTATCTGGAATTTATTCCATACCTTGGAAGTGAAGGGAAAAGTGATGAACATTTCTAGAATGACTAGCAAAAATATTCGAAGTGTGAATCCACTGCTACTAACCCTCCAGCTTTCTTGGCAAAATTTCAGAATGATTTCCCATTGCCATTTTCCTAGAACTGAGAGAGACTGACTAACCAAGGTCACCCAGCTAGCTTTGTGCCTAAGATGAGACTAGAACTCACAGTCTCCTGGTTTCTATCCTGGTGTCTTAACCACTACACCAGAGCCTCTCAGCACTTATGAATGAAGATTAATGTCTTTTCACTGAGGGGCACTGTTGTTAGGCTATGCTTAGGGCAACAGCTGGCATTAATCTGACTCTGTAGACAATTCCTAATCTCAAATCATTTTCTTCTGCCTTTTTCCCAGATACACAGAGCTCTTACGCCATGGTGCTGCTTCTCCTAAATTGTGGTATAAAACCTGCTTCATAATCCTCACTCATGAAATTCAGATCAGAAGTGCTCACATAAATACCCAAAATATTTTAACACCCTCCCCCAGTAAAAAAAAAACTGGGGGAGGGCCCCCACATTGTTCCTTTCTAAACACAGAAGAAATCTTTTTATTTGGTCAGAACATGCCAGTCATTAATGGTCCTTCTAATCTGCTGCTATAGATCTGTAAGAAGATAAACTTCAAAAACATGGCCTCTGTCTGATTTTGCTTTTTTTCATCAAAAACATAGGACAAAGTTAGTCTCTAAGTAATAGAATGATAGAAAAGAATTTCACAGAAAGAGTAGGACTATTTCCATTGACTTTATTCTCCACCCCACCCCGCCTGATTCTAACTGTTCTCTTTTATTTATTTTTCCAGTGTCTAATCATCTTTCTTGCTTGATGTTACAGCTGTGTGTATATACAATAACAAAGTGTCTTGGGTCCTACACAGAATTAAATAACTCAAGGCAGGAGATAGCACATTGTATAAATTATAGAAAACAAGGGTCTGGAGTTGTTCCACGGTGAATAAATTAAAGAAAAATAACAGCAGGAGAGAGAGGCAAGCTCTCACATAAAAGATAGAGATTTTGAGGAGAAATGGCTAGTCAATGAGGCAGAAAGATGCAAGAACGAAGAAGGCGTAAAATAAGAAAATCATTTCTCTAAAGACAACTGATGACAGTTGAAAATAATGCACTGAAAGTGAATATTTTACATTAGTTAAATCTATAGCCCATCAGATTTAAACAAGACAGATAAGTTATTAATGTCTATCTTTGAGTATATTCTTTAAAAGCATATTTTATTTCAAAGAATGCATCTATCCTATTTCAAAGAAGACATCCATCCAATTTTTAAAACATACTTTTTGATATGGAAATGGGTTGGCCCACATTATGTTACAAAAACATGTAATAAACTCTTGTGCAGGATTCATGCTGTGACGAATTAGAAATGACTACAGCCTTGAACAGTTTCCTCAACCTGCTGTGTCCCACATATGTTGATCACAATAGCTCCTATATTTCCCAAGCAGTAGCCTATTGATAAGGACATGGGTCTAAAATCCATTACTTCTGGGAGGCCACAGATTAATTCATTGTTTAATTGGAAACAATGGAAAAAAGAATACGAAACAATAGAAAAAAGAATAAGACTCTGTTATATGCTGTTACCCTGACTTTTGCTTTCTACCTCCACAATCCATAATTTATGTTTCTATAATTCAGCAGAAAGGGACTCTCCAAACTTTTTGCACATTGCTATCTTTTATTGAATGTGGGAAGAGGTAAATTTAGGCTTAGAAAGAACAGCGAAGATTGCACAAGCCTTCCCGTGAAAGTTCAAGAGTCTTGGAGTGAAAAACAGGATAGATTATTTTAAAATGATATTATTTACTACTTGTATGTACTTGGTTAGTGGGGACACAATATTGAGTTAACAATTGTTCATTCTTAGGTAGGTTGTCATCTGAGATCAATGGTTTCAGTCCTTTAGTTATGAAAGCCTTTGCAAAATGGACTTTTGCCGGGCCATATCTATTTTTCATATTGTAGTCTTCCATTACTTAGGCATAAATGGACTTTGATTCTGAATCAGTAGGGCCATTGCTGTCAATTCACACACTGGGAAGGACTCTAAATAAAGAACTACACTGCATTCTTCCTACTATTATCACCTTCTCTGTGTCCTAACTTGTGGGGAGATGTGGAGAAGGGTTATCCCCATCTAAAATGCTGTCAACATTTGCCAACACAACAAAATGTGACCTTGCAAGTTCTGTGTTTCTTTGTCTGTTTGACAGTCTGTCTTTCTTTTCTCTTATCTGCAGCAGCTTCAGTCAAATAATGAATAAGTTAAAGTCCAAATGTTTTGTTGTTGATGTTCAATGTGGCTTTGTTTTCTTTGTTTCTTCAGACATAATGCTTCTGTCTTGGTTTGTATTTGCAAGTGCATATATGTTAATGGTTTGGACATTTTGACTAATTGTGGCTTATCCAGTGAGTAGTAAAAGCCAGAACTCTTTTGGGTCTTCATCTTAATTTTTGTCTTGAGATCTTTCCATTCAAAGGAAATTGCATTGCCCCTGATGAAACATGAGCAAATCAATAGCCATTTTCAGACTCTGTTGTATTAGTTAACAAGATACTTTATTAAATTAGAACTACTTGTAACAGAATTGTCTTCTGTCTTCTAAATTTTAGAACGATTGTTTTCAAATTAAAATAGAACATTTTTTCCTTCCTAAACACAATGGAAAAGCTTTATTACTACTAATTCTATTTAGCAATCCTGATGACTCTGCAAAGATGTTTTTTAAGTATAATCCTGCTGTTTAGTTGTTTACTAAGTAAGTGACATAGTAGAAATTGGTTAACCTTTGGAGAACAGATTTCAGTTAGGGGTGGCCCCAAACTTTGCAGTGTGGTTCACAATAGCTTCCATGATTTTGGTATCAAACATATGAATAATTTCATATTTCTATGATATTACAATATTTTGAGATTTAGGACTATGCAAAAATAAATTTTAGTTAAGATAAAGCATAATTTTTCAATTCAAAACTGTCATTACTACCATTCAATGTAATGGTGCAAATTCTTCAAATTCCAAAAGTTAAGTGAAAATCCAAGTCAGCTATATTAAAAAATATTCAACCTATCTTCACCTAAGCATCATATTAATTCTCACTGGGTAATGAGAATTTTCCCCTTAATCTGAAAGGAGATCTCAGATTGACACCCTTGCATTCCCAGGGAATGCTACTTAATACCTCATATTTCTTGCTAATAAGGGCTGCTGTCTGTGGGCTTTTTTAATATGAGTATAAATTCTGTAGGAAGCGTTACCAAATCAATATTCTTTTCTGAACAGCCTTTCATATTTATAGCTACTAAGTTTTAACATATGCTGTTCCTTATACATTTCTTTCCCCCTCCCCCAAAACCCATGAATTTGTGCAGGTGTTTTGGATGGAAAAATATGAATGGGAGCAGATAGTAGATAAAAATGTCATTCATGCTTTAAAAACAAAATTACAGTATATAGAAAATGCATAATTTTTGTCTAATCCGTGACAGATTTCTTTTATAGATTGTCAGCAACATCATAGTTACTATTTATGGGAGACTGAATTCTTTCATCAGTTACAATAGCAGATTTCAAAGCTAGCTTCTGGTATAATAGACACCTTGGGAGCTATCTACGAATGAAGTCCCTCTAAGGGCATAACTACACAGTATTTGGCAAAAAGAAATGCCATTTTATTACCCCAGTGTATATTTAGCTCAATTGTCAATTTTTTAAAAAGAACACATCAAATTATAACTCAAACATTTGCCTGTGCGGTTTGAAAGTATTACAGGAATTTGCCCTCTAAGTATACATGCTTAGTACATCTTGTTCCCCATATGCTGTCTGTGATCTCTGCATTTGTGCTTGTGTTCTTATACAACCTAGAAATCAGTGTTACACTCTGATAGAACTGTATACCATAAAACAAATTATTTATGCATTCGTACTTATGCAGGTACTGCTCTTCAGATTTCTCAGAGAGACCAAGGGACATTGTGGATGTTTCTTGTATATTCTGAACAAAATTGCAAGATCTCATGTAGATCTCATACAAATTCTCAGTGAAGGTCAGAGAACTCCAGATATCTCTTACCTTTAGCCTATGGCTGAATGGCTGAACACTAGAGGTTGTATCCCTGCTTTCTAGCAAGTTACTAGTGAAATGCATGGAAAACAACATTGAGCTTCTGTCACTATCTCTCACTTAATTTCATATATTTTTCAGGAGAAACTATAAATTTAAAACATGTGATTGTTGAAACACTCTCCAAGAGTCTTAAGTGAAAACTTGGAGCTACATGGTCTATAAATCTGATAATTTCTAGTATATTAAACATTGCATAGTTTTTAAAAATTTAACAGAATTATTACCTAGCTTTCATACAGAAGATTCCCATTTAAATCTGCTAATACTCTATATTTTTAACTAAGATTGGTTTTACAAACAACACTGAAATAAATGGTAAACATGCCTTTTTTATCTGTGTGTGTGAAGTAGAACAGGGAATCCTTATTTCTGAACTATAAGCACTAGCACTCCTCATGTATTGCTGAACTATAAGCACTACCATTCGTGAAATTGGTTGTTTGGATGAGAACTATCACGTATTAGGTATATTCGTTGTCTTAGTTGACTATTTTAAAAACAAAAATGAAATAGTTTACTTTTAATGAGAGAAAGATGGTTAAAAAATTATTATTAAATAGTGTTTTGTCCTTATCTTCTACTGCTTTGGCAATATTTCTTTTTTTAAAAGAATGGTTGTCAAAGATGTTTTTTCCTTTAAAAAATGTTTTTGCTTGAGGATCACTGGATCTTAAAATCTTTATTAACAAGTTGAGATATATTGCATATGGAAAAAGACAAAAACAAGTAATGAATCAGAAATGATTCATGGAGTGATTATACAACATATCCGATAATTTTAGAATCAGTGTTGTGGTAATTGTATTAAATTAATCTAACAATCTATGTAATAATATATATATTATAATATATGTGTACATCCTGCAACAATACCTCTAAACCATAAAACATTAACATCTGCCTCTGCCAAGTCATTCTGAAGGACTGAGTAGGTGGGCATATTGCCAAATCCGGTCTGAACATCTGGCTGACTGTGTGACAAACTATAGTAAACTATGATTACCTGGAACAGCTTACATTCTGCAACGATATCTGTGACACCGTCCAACATCGACATCTGCCTATCCCAGGTCCTTGGAAAGGATTTGCTAGGCAGACAAAAATGCCAAATCCAGGCTGACTGTGTGCGACAAATTATAATAAAATATGATAATTACAGTACATTGCTGACTCTATGTACATTTTGACCTCTTTCAAAATTCTTAATAAAATAAAGTACTAAATAAGAGGCCTTTTTTAAAATGTCCACAGAAGGGCCGGCTGATCTCTGTGGGTGAATTATTTTTCATGCTTTTTCCAAAGCAAAATATATGATTTGTATGTTTCATTAAAAGTAAAATCAATGAGTTCACAGAAAATTGTGGAAGTCACCATTATCAAGAGAGGTTAAAATTGTACTACTCAGCCTTCAAATTAGTGAAGATAATGATTAAATGTGATTTTTCCCCCTATGATCGTATAACACATATGAGAGTGTTCCGAAAAATGCATTGTCTTGCTATTTTTTGAGCTGCACAAGTACAAGGTTATTCCTAGGAGACAGATTGGTCTTGTATTGGCAGGTAATGGCTTTAGTTGAATTGCAGTGAAGAAGACAGCTTAAGGACACCTCTTGCAAGCAGACATGATAAGTGAGACAAAAGCAGATATTTAGCCCAAATAATTCTAAGAGGCTTTTTTTTTTTTCCTGGACAGATGCTAAAAATTCTACTAAGACCAAATAATCTTAGATGAATGGGAGACAGCATTGCTTCCATGTTATACACCCGTGATGGCGAACCTATGGCACACGTGCCAGAGGTGACACACAGAGCCCTCTCTGTGGGCACAGGCACCGTCGTTTCCGGTGCTCCGGCATGTGTGAAAACCAGCTGGCTGGCACACATGTGCATACCAGAAACCCAAAGACCAGGCGGCAGGGGCACGCATGCTCACCGGTCATCTGGTCTTTGGGTTTCCGGCGCTCCAGTGTGCGCATGTGTTCCGGTTTGGGCACTCAGTGCCGGAAAGGTTCACCATCACTGTTATACACTGTTTTACACTATTTATTTGTTTATTTATCTACTCAATTATAACATTGTTGGTCTATAGTTATTCCACATAGTTTCAAAACAGCAAATTCAGTTACTATTTTGATTGCACAAAGTATTCCTTGATATTATTTTCATCAAAGGAAAAAATGTAATTCATTGGCTGTTTTTCTAAAGTGGGAAAATACAGCAAAAAAAAAAAAAAGTTCTCCTGAGTCAAAGTGATGTCTTTGACTCAGGAGTAATGGCCCAATTGACCTGTTTGATAATAGGTAAAACAACTATTTTTTATAAAAGACTGGAATGTTTTGTGAATTTTTTTGTTGAAAATGAAAAAAGTGCTGATCTATGGATTTGATGATTGAAAAAAGGATTAAATAAAGAATTGAAGGGTTTTTTGTTGTGTTTCAGGGGGAGGAAGCATGAGTTTGTTTATAACTGCTGCAAAGCAAAACTGTTTTGCAAAGCAAAACTGTTGTAGCAGCTGATTTCTTTTTTTTTATTCTTGTTTCTTTGGTTAGCTTTTTCTTTTGTTCTTCGTACTTTCTTTTTTCTCATTTTCTTATTTCTTTTCTTCTTTCTTTATGTCATTTGTTACATTTACCGGTATATGTTTATGTTGTTGTTCATTATATTTACATTTGTATGTAAAAACTTTCAATCACAACTCTATTAAAACTAGCTGGATGCCCATGCTTCATTACGAGACTATATACTCGAGCTTGATAAATTGATACTTATAGCCTGAAAATTAATGTAGAATGTGTAACTCCATAGCATCAGAGTGTGTTAATATAATGCAACTGACAGATGGAACAGAGGGGGAGGGGGAGTAGAATGTTCCAGCCCGCAGCATCCATTGGTATTCATCTGGCTAGCATCCTGTCAGTGTGTGAGAGAGTTGAGGGGTGTTTGGAAACTCAAACAGTATAGGTTGTGTTAGCAAGAAGGAGACAGGAAGGACGCTGGATGTGGCTTAGCTCAATTGTTCTGTAGTAAAGTTGCTTGCTGCTGTGAAAGTAAAACTGAAAGTGAAACTCCTCTCCTCTGCTTGTGTTTTGCATTTCAAACAGATTTCTTTTCAGGTGGGGAGGGAGAGTAGAACTCCTTAGCATCAGAGGGCTGTTTTGGAAAGTGAAACAGTATTTGCTGTGTGAGCAAGAAGGAGACAGGAAGGAGCCTGGCAGTGGCTTAGCTCAAATGTTCTGTATTAAAGCTTCTTCCTACTGTGAAAGTAAAACTGAAACTGAAACTCCTTCCTCTGCTTTTGTTTTGCATTTGGAACAGATTTCTTTTCAAGTGGGGAGGGGAAGTAGAACTCCTTAGCATCAGAGTGTGTTAATAATAATATAGGAAATACTAATGCTCTGATGGTCATTTCGAAAAATTCTTTCTTAGTGAGCACCTAGAAGCCAAGAGGAACATAAGCTGCAAATTTCAAGTTTGTAGGCTTTACAGTTCTGGAGATTTCGTGATTACAGCGTGAGTGGTTTTTGCTTTTATATATATAGATTCAGATGAAAAGAAATGGAAAATGCATTTAAAATGACTCAGTGAATTCTATAGGGGCATATCTGCATTTGTGGTTGAAGACACATGGCATAGGTAGCAAAATTCAGTTTCCCACCAATATTACAAGTGGTTCTCTTGCAGAACAAAGACTTGTATCAGTTTATGTTTCCCACTGCTTTACCTAGTCTGCTCAATGAGCAGTACAGGCTTCCTTTTTTTTTCATGAAGGCAGGATATGTCTGGCATATTCAGTTGTTTTCTTTGACTGTCCAGCTGTTGAAGTACATGGACGGGGGGGGGTTGTACATTTTTTATTTGAAATTAAAATACTTATATATTTTTGCATAGTATCTTGGTGAGCATTAACTGGCAGTCACATAAAATGAGTTTTCTGAACTTAGCAGATTGTCTCTGTATTATCTGTGGTCATCTTTCATGCCCTCTATTTGTAACTTAGCCAGGTGTGAATAAGCATCCATAGTTTCCCCTTCTTATTGGCATGCCTGACAGAAATTGCACTGTTGTTGTCAAGTTTAAAATATTGTAAAGTGTACTTGAGTTATTTCATAATATTTAGTCCTTCCTGCATTGGGCAGCATTCTAGTATAATATGACCACATCAATGGTCTTCTCAGTGATGGAATAATTTTCCTTAAGTCAACACTTAATTTATAGTGTTCATTCAATCCAATGCATCCATATACTGGTATATCTCAAAACAGAAAATTGTGGAAGAACTATTTTGCAAGAATTATGCACTCTGCCAATACTAGGCATAAAATGGTAGCCTAACATGTGTGTTGAAGAGCAGGGAAAAAATGGAAAATGACTACTTCTACTTCCACTTTGCATGTCTTCCAGAAAAGAATGTGAAAAGATAATTCATGCTACCAGGACTCAATGAAATCTACCCTGATTTTATTACCAATGTTCAGTCTTTTAAAGATTATCCAAGAAACATGCCAACAAGTGTTTTTAATAGCAAATAGATCAGGAATGGAATATTTTGAAAATCTGATGCTCCTCCAAACCAGCTTTATCCAATCATTCTGGAACTGATATATTGGTTTGAACATTTTTATTTATCTCTACTTGATGCAAAATTATTCAAATTTACCATGCAAATGTTAAAACTCATCATAATTCAAGTTCTTTCTTTTTTCTTTCTCCTTCCTTCTTTCCTTCCTTCTTCTTCTTCACTATATCTAGTTTTTCTTTTTCTCTTTGAAAAACTATGGTCATAGTGGTCTTTTTTTTAAAAAAAATTCTACAAAGAATATTTCTATTGTTTTGTATGCTGAAAGGGTATTGTTAGAAATTTGGCATCCACAGCAACTGGTTTGGAATCTCAGCACAATTGTGCATTTAATTCTTTATATTATTACATTCATATTTTTTTTAATAATGAAAACATCTAAGTAAGTTAAATATCTTTAAATCACTGTTTCCCCTCTTATATACTTTGGGTAACATTAAATATTTCTATGTACATATATTCTGCAAATTTTATACCTGCTTGTTGTGATCTGGCTGAGCAAGTACAACTTCACTATTTCGTTCCCCTCATTTGTATAAAACAAGACAGGTACTCTGTTATCCCTAAAGCAGACACCACTTATCTGTCACTTGCAGAACTTGCTTAATGCATGTGTCAAGCCTCCCAAGAATACTGTCCTGGTGATAGAAATATAATGGGTACAAATACAGATGGGTGGGCATTAAATTACATGTCTACTCTGACCTTCAGAGGTCAAAAACTCAAAGGCTGAGAATGATAGATGTGTTTTTGAAAGTCTTTCCGACATCTGCTATGGCAATTCATGGCTGGCTTTATATTCATGGGAGCTCGAAGGAAAGTCAATCCAATGTGGGTTCCTGATTTAAATGACATATCACTGTTTATGTCGCTCTAGAGCATTCTGAAATGATTTGCATTTTGGAGAGTTCAGTGCTCATGCAAGCAGTTTAAAATCTTTTTTCTAATTTGATCATACTTTAAAACAGGGATGAACATTTACTTTGGCTATTATTGAGCCACATGCTTTAGAAATTCTCTAGTTTTCTTACTGGTAAAGCCAGCGTAGCATAGGAAAGAAACAAATTAACTAGGAAAACTCTGCTGTTAAAAGAAAAACACAACATCTGGGTGTCAAAATAATGAGGTTTCTTTTGTTGTTATGGCATAGGCTATTGAACAAACTGAGAAGAACAGGTATTTCATATATATCAACGGTTTAATTTGTAATGTTGGAAGAATTAAAGCACATAAAATGTCACAAGATTTGAATAAATTCCTTTGCAAAAAAAACCCCAATTCCTTGGTTTTTTTTTACAAAAACAAAATAAAACATGCAAATGAAAACAAGATATTTTCAGGCGACATGTTTGTGTCCTGGCTTAGCCTATAGCACAAATTTTGCAACAATAAGTAAATTACTTTATTGTTACCATCCAAAAGTGAAAAAATAAACAAAGGTTAAATAAAACACAAATTGGTGCAATATGTGAATCCAATTTTTCAATTCCCAGAGAATCCAGGACAGGCTTTTCTACTGTTCACTGAAGAAGGATTATGTGTCCCGAAGTTGGGAGATAAACAGATCCACAATCTTAAATAATAATTTAATTTAATTTAATTTTTGTATTAGTCCCACTTTGGGTCTCAGCTTACAACTCAAACGACAAATGTTTTTCTTGGCCTGAAAAAGATTGTGCTCCCTGTTTTCATGACAGAAAATTAATAAATCATCAGGAAAATCCATAAAGAAAAATGCCAGGAAATTGATATTTGTCTTATTTTCCCATGTAAAATTAGAGATAACGTTTGATTAATTAAGCCTTCTGCTCTATTACATGAAGATGTTTTTCCATTTCCTATTTGCTATAATAACTTCTAAAATTGTAGTAACAGTTTGCATACTTGGGGCTGAGTTAAAGTAGTAGAATAACTGCCTGAAAGGAATGCATACCTGGAAGGAGAATTTGGGAGACTTTGAAGAACATAAGGTTATTTGAGGAACAGTTTGAATTGTATACCCAATCAAGGAATGCACTGCAGGCAGACAATAAGAACAATGGCAGTGATGTACATTGTTATTTTGAATGGCTGAAATTAAAGTGATTTCTTTGAAGGTAAGAGGTGCTGGGCTAATATCAGTAGGCAGACAACCACATCTAATGAATTATATGAAATGAGATATAATCATCTTCAACGAATAAATAAAATCAGCCAACAGTTACCAAGTCTCAAAGACAATTGGTTTAAAAAACATTATGAAATTGCATACTAAGGTGTAGTTATACTTTTTAAAGAAAGGAATTTAAAAAAAAATAGGGAGATGCATTTTTGTATGAGGTTTGATAGAGGTGGAGAACATTTTTCTAGAGAAAAGTTTTTTCTAGAGAAATAACACACATCAGCTCAGGAAAGATAGAAGGTGCATAAAGCTAAATGTCACAAATGCAGTTTACAAGCACAGTAAAATGGCAAAGCCCATAAAATCTGAAACTAAAAGCCCAATGCCTCAATTATTATCTAATCAAATGGAGTGTTGTTTGTAATGACTGGGGTCCCTGAGTTAGATCGCAAACATAACAACTCTGGAAAGAGAATTCCTAAAGTAGCATTAGAAACCATTTGGTTTGGGAAAGGCTAATTTTTATAGACATACATACTCATTTTTGTGCTGTAACCATTGTATCAGTGGTGGGTTCTACTTGCCTTTACTACCGGTTCGCAATGGGGCCGTGCGCGCGCCCTCGCTTCGCTCGCACGCAAGTGCAGAACCGGTACAAACTGGGGGCAACCCACCACTGCATTGCATTTAGCCTATACAAAGAAATGTCCAAACATTTGATCACAGATCTTGTATTATCATGTACGATTTGATTCTGACACCTGTTATGTAGTTCCAAAATGTAGTGCTTCGACAGGATACCAACACATTTATTTGATACTGGAGGCATACAATTGTGCTTGCGATTTATTGCCCTTTTTAAGTTTAGGCCTATCGTATCAGAGCTGTCTGGAGATGCTGCATGGTTTGAGAATTTATATTACTATTTGAAATTTATTAGGCTCATTTAATTTCATTTTTTCCTCCCAGATTGTTCCATAGATGAGGAAAATGGAATAAATATGTATCTTATATTCTTTGGGAGAAGAGAAAGAAGCACCAATTAAAATGCCCCATTCTATTCCCCTCCTCCTGTTGAATAACCATTTTAAAGTATATCACTCTATAAGCTTTCCATACTTAGGCATGCAGAATGTAAACCTAAAAATGCAAAAATTATCCATACCAATCCTCGGTTATACAATGTTACACAGATAAATCAAGCAGGCAGAAACCATTAGTCAAAAACACATTTAACTTAAATTAAATTTACTTTGTGTTGGGTGATTGTATGCAAGGTTTATTGTAGCTGAATAATTTATCAGCTCCTGATTTGCTTGAAATACAAAACAATAACAACCCGAGAAAGAAGTCTTCCTAGAATAAAGATTGTGAGATTGTCTGAATATTTTAACTGGACTATTACAATCTACCTTTAGATACACAAGGAACCTGAATGCAGTTGACATGGCACTATATTATAGATTGCTGGCAGATAGAATGGAAATTGGGATCATTTGGTGTATCTCTAGGTCAGGGGTGTCGTCAAGGTGATGTATCGGGACTTCCTCCCCCTTTGCTAAACTGGGCATGGCCATGGCCAATGCGTGATGCATCTGGCCCGCAGGCCATAAGTTTGACAGCCCTGCTCTAGGTGATATTTAATGAATCAGAAAATAGTTTTGAGTCTCAGTTGGCTAATGATTGCAAAAACAAATACACTTTCTTTCACTGGGAAATATTTAGAAATAAATCAGTGGATTTCTATAAGAAAAGATTTGTGAGCTGGTTGGGATATTGAGTAAAAGAGACTGAAGGGAACATATGCTTAGAGGTTGCATTTACTTTAGTATATTTTTTTGTTCATTTATTTAAAAGCTTTACCTAACTACCTGTCCCATAAATCTATTTAGCTTATAAATGACAGTAATAATAATAAGAATGTAAAAACATAAAACAATCACAGACACTACCAGTGACCCCACACATACACAAAGAACTTTACTGGCCTTCATGGTTTTTGGAAAGCTAAGTGGGTAGAGGCCTATAGGATCTCAGGAAGATATGTGTATCAAAGAGCAGGGAAACTACTGAAAGGATATGTGTATCAAAGGGCAAGGAAGCTACTGAGAAGGCATGCTTCCTAAGACATGCAATATTTAAAGGAAGAAACCTGGACTGAAACCATCCGATCATACCCAAATCCCAAAGGTGCTTTTTCAAAAGGCAACTGGACTTTCTTTGTTATCTTCTTTGAAGATATTTTGCTTCTCATCAAAGAAGCATCTTCAGAACTGAACTGAGCTGAACTTCTTGGAAGCAAACTGTCTTCAAGGAAAAACAAACAAAGTCCAGTTGCCCTTTGAAAAAGCATCTTTGGGACAACCATGATCTGGATGACTGAGAATCTCCATAGACCTAAGTAGAATGGGCAAATATCCCCAGGGAGAGGCAGTTCTACAACCAAGATGTGTGTATCCAGGCATAAAGAACTTCTAAAAGCAAAGCACCTCTTCAGCATACATCTTCAAAAATAAAGGTGTTGTGAGCAAAGCAGAAGGACAATCTACAGTACAATGTTCCTTCCCTTGATATAAATTTATTGGAAATAGAACTCTGGTGGATTAGATCCAGTTCATTAAAAAGGGCTGATGGTGAAGCCATTGTGAGATACATGGTTATTAAAAAGTAAATAATAAAACCTAGGATTGATGTAGGTAGAGAACTTGCAGTAAGATCAGAATGATAGTGTATTGTCATGGCATGGCTCAATTATGCCTTATGTACTTGTGTGTGATGTTATGATGCAAGGACAAAAGGAATTGAGTGGTCACCACAACATGATGATGTACATACTGTACAGTAATTTGCCCTGTCTTCCCCCACTCCCCTGACTCTGATGTGGTGAGTTGTGATTGATTGTAAAATGTTTGAAGTAGGCTGCCTCTCATTTCTCTTTTACACAAAGCAGAGAAGAAATGAGATAAAAAGGTGTATAAGAGAAAAGAGAGAAGGAAACGGAATGTCAGAAAATGAAAGAAGAGAGGAAAGGTTTTACTTTATGTGGCAGCATTATCCTGGATAGTGGTGTTTATTTAATAGTTTTATTATCCATCTCAATCTGTAGATTCTGGGCAGCATACAACAGAGGAAAAACGCAAAGACACGCAATCTATACAGAGGTTTGATCTGTTTGTAAGATAGATGTTTTTATTTGCTTTCTTCCCGTATTCTTTATGTTATTTAACAGTCTTACAATTCAATCCACTTCCCCCCCCCAAAAAAAAACCCTCTGTAGCTATTGGGCAAATAAAACGTGTAAATAAGCAATAAAATAAATACAAACCAAAGAAACTAGGGATCAGAAGCCAAAAATAAATCATGGCTTCAGATTTTATTAGATCACTCTAAACAAATCACAGGAAGAACATCTGTTGTTTGTGTAGACACTCTGGTTGGTAGAGGAAGCCAAATGGGAGTGATAGAGCCATAGTGTATCAGAGCGCTATCATTTTTGACTGATGATTTGATGATTTTGATCATCTCATTTCTTCAGTACACTGGTTTGCTATGTGCAAGCAGTCACTGTGGAGCAGACTCCAGAGATTCTGAGATGGTAACTTTTGTGACAGTTGCTCTGTTTTATGAAGTTTCCAGTTAAAAAGTTGCATCATATAGTAGATTTGTCTTATATATTACTGTAAACCAGATTTCCTTCCTTTACAAAATTCATGAAAAGTTTTTGTTATTATTTTAGGCAGGGGTGGTATTCACTTACCTTCGATACCAGTTCGCAAATGTGTCACATCTGCACATGCGCAGGGCCTTCAGTGCATGCACAGAGTGCAAAAAACTTGCATTAATGGGATGTGATGATGTCTGGGTGGGTGGGCGGAACCTCCCACTACTGGTTTGCCCGAACCAGATAGATGTCACCACTGATTTTAGGGAAATTTTTCATTGGAGTGAAAGAGTCTATATTTGTAACATCATTTGCTACTGATTTACTTATTATTTATTTACTTGGTGTTTATTCTAGCTAGATATTGTGGATTTTAGGGTAGGTCATTAACTTCTTAAGTTAAGAAGCAGTTAAGTTAACTTAGGGGCAAATGTTGTGTTACTAAAATTAAGAAGTGTTTTGTTCAGAATTAAACTTTATGTCAATAAATTTTGTCTATAGAGATTTTCAGTTATGATTGTCCCAAAGGCGTTTTTTGTTTTTCATTGAAGATGTTTTACTTCTCATCCATTTATTGACTTCATTGAATATAAAATCCTTCCACTCTCCACTCTCCACCATTTAGTCAGAACTGAAAAAGCTTCTTGGAAGAGAACTGAAATGTCTTCAAAGAAAAACAAAGGAAGCCCAGTTGCCTTTTGAAAAAGGAAAGTCAATTTGCTTCTTCTTTTCTGAAGTGGGTATAAAGAAGCTGAGAATCTACAGGATAGGCATATTTATTCTTGTGAATATTGGGGAATGAATTCAACATGGGGTGGCTAGTACATTCCTTGGACTTATAGAAAGAGTTCTGTCTACATACTGCTTATTTGAATAGTCTTATCATGCATATGATGGGATACGATGGCTCAGTGGCTAAGATGCTGAGTTTGTCTTAGGTTGGTAGTTCAGCGGTTCGAATCCCTAGTGCCGCATAATGGGGTGAGCTCCCGTTACTTGTCCCAGCTTCTGCCAACCTAGCAGTTCATGTAAAAAACATGTAAAAATGCAAGTAGAAAAATAGGGACCACTTTTGGTGGGAAGGTAACAGCATTCTGTGCACCTTTGGCGTTTAGTCATGACCATGACCACGGAGATGTCTTCGGACAGCACTGGCTCTTCAGCTTTGAAACGGAGATGAGCACCACCCCCTAGAGTCAGGAATGACCAGCACATATGTGCGAAGGGAACCTTTACCTTTACCTTATCATGCATATGTTTCTGTCACCATCTGTACAAAGTCATCAGCTTAATCAATGGGTTAGATCTCAGTGGTCAAAACATTTTTTTTTCCTTTTTACCAGACTCTTCTTCATCCAAGCTGTAAAGAAAAATTGGGAGAAGTAGATAATCTAATGAAAATTGTTATACTGTGAATTGGGTAAATTTGATCAATAGTACATTTGTAGACCAGCTTTTTTATTTAAAGCTGTAGTAGTCTTTGACTTAAAACAGCGGTGGGTTTCTACCGGTTTGCCCCAGTTTGGGCGAACCAGTACCAGCAGTGCCCGGAGGTCATCAAATACAATCTAAGCATTCACAGAAGCTTTTGCGCATGCACAGAAGTGGCATGCATGCAAGTGAAGTGAGCATGCACAAGTGAACCGGTAGCAAAAGTAAGTGAAACCCACCCTGATTTACAACCATTCATTTAATGGCAGTTTGAAGTTACAATGGCATAGAAAAAAGTGACTTATAACCGTTGCAGCCTCCCTAAAAAAAGGGAAGATGATGATCATTTATTGGCTAAAAATTCATTTCTTTCCAGAGGGACTGTCCCCGCTAGTGCTGACTGACAACTTCCCCTCCCCCTGGAAACAGGTGATAGATCACAAGCTGGGCTGTTATGGGCTCTCATCGGTATTCTTTGTGTCCCTTGGCTTTGATAAAGCAAAGCAAGTGGTAATTGATAGAATGAAGGACATGGAGTTCCAAGAAGAACTAAATAAGTTGCCTGTCCACAGTAGGGACAGAATCAAGCAGGATGTGTGGGAATCAGCAAGATATCTAAATGATCTGATCTTCCCAAAACAAAGAATAGCTTTCTTCAGAGCCAGATTTAATATTCTCCCCTCAGCACTTCTCCAGGGTAGGTACAAGAGAACACCAATAGCAGAACGGGTAGGTATATGTGGAAAAGGAGAAGTCAAAGATATCTCACATGTTTTATTGTACTGTGAGTTATACAGAGTATGTAGGTCAATATATATTCTCCCCTTACTAGAGAGATTGCCAGGGAAGACAGACGACTTTTATGTAGGCTTTCTCCTCCAAGACTCAAATTCTGCTACCACACGGCAGTGGCAAAATTCTGTGTCGCTGCAATGTCCTCAAGAAAAAAACTGGTTACAGAATTATAGATGTCAACTGGTGCCAATTTTTTGGAGATATCAATAACAATTATTGGAAAAATACATTTACTCACATACTTATCAGCTCTCCACTCATGTAAATTAGGGAATGACCCTAACGATTTGAGATTATGTATTTTCATAACAGGGATGTTACTATTCATGATTAATGTCAGTATTATTTTTAATGTATTGTATGTCTATTGCTGGTCGACGACCGTAATAAAGTTTTATTCATTCATTCATTATTCAGCCTCCCTATGGTCATCTAATCAAAATTTGGATGCTTGGTAATTGACATGTATTTATGATGGTTGCAGTGTCCCAGGCTCATATGATTACCTTTTGTGACCTTCTGACAAGCAAAGTCAATGGGGTAGCCAGATTCATTTAATAACTGTATTACTAATTTAACAAATGCAATGTTTGGGGCAACCTCACTGAAAACCAATGAGGTTTTACAGTGGAGGTTTTGGACTCATTTGTGGTTGTAAGTTGAGGACTACCTGTATTCTATTTACAATGGGTTTTTATCCAGTACATTATTTTAGACTTTTAGGCTAAAAAATCAGCCATTATTTTTTTTTCCGAAATAAAAAAATCTGCAACTCATACTTGTAGTACAAAATGTCTACTATTCATTTTGCTGTTTAAGACATTTTCTTTATCAGTTTTTCCTTAAAAATTATAATTGAAAATTATGTTAATATTTTACTTAAGGGGTTCATTTATCTTATATCATTTTCAAAAATTTATCCTCCTTAGATAAAGATACAAGATTTCATTTTAGTCCTTAATATGATATAGTTGTAAGCATACCTTTCTAATGCCAATTTCCTATTCACACCTTTTGTGCATCCCCAGTTACAGCTGAAAATAAATAAATAAAAAAAAAACCCTAGGGTGGTAGTGAAAGAGAGGGGAGAATGTCTTGATGATGCAGTTTATTTCTACAGTTACATAAAAGCTATAATTAGTTCAACTTTTTAGCCACTTGCAATTAACAAGAATGCTGACAGATTCAAACTAAGACATTCCTTTGGGAAAAAAGGGGCATCTGAAATGAGTATATAAATTACTATGACCTTAATTAGCATATGCAGAAAAGTCTCTATTAGAACTTTCACGACTAGACTAAGACTACATTGTACGGTTGACATCTGAAATTTTGTCAAATTTATCCACATTCATGCAATATTCACGTTACAGCTTTAATATTGATACCATATGCTGAAACAGATATGAGTGATATTGCATTGTTACTGGACCAAAGATATTGTTAATTGATTCTATAAAATGACCTTCCCTTTATGGCTTTAGAATTATGTTACTAGAGAAGATGTTGATAGTTTCTTTCTTAGCAGAATTATCCCTAAAATATATGCACGTTATTCTTTCATGAATATGGTGCTGGTGAAAAAAAACTTGTATATAACAGTACATAAGAGCTAGAGCCCATACTGAGGTTAATTTAGTCCAGAAAAGACAAAGTGCCTATGTAACATGTGTTTCATACATCTGACTATATTTCAAATGTATAGTTCTTCTTATTTTGATATAGCCTCTGAAGCTAGAAGAAAATCAGCAGAATTTCACAAGAGAGGCTGGAATATACAGCTGATTATAGTTGGTTTTAATCCTTTTAATATTTATTAATGATAATGATTTTAGATATTTATTGGTTTTGTTTTGTTGTATGCCATCCACAGTCACTCGCTTGTAAAATGGTGGCTATATAAATTAGATAAATAAATTATTTACTGTAACCAGACCAGTGTGACCTCATACTTCATTCCAGATTCAGAGGTCCTCCTGACTTTGTTAATTCATACTGGTAAATAAACTTAACTCTATTCCTATAGGAATAGCTCATGCAGGACTCTTAGCTGCATTAATAGCTTGTATACATTTAGGGTTTGTATTTCTTTCTTTGCCTAGCTTCAGGGGTGAGTTCTACTTACCTGAGATGGATTCGCAACGGGATCGCATGCGCAGATTGCTTCTGATGACATCAGGGTCAGTGGGCGGAGCCTCCTGCCGGTTTTACTACCAGTTCTATAGAACCGGTCCAAACCGGGGGCAACTCACCACTGCCTAGCTTGTTTACAAAATTGCTTTTGCCACAAGTTTACTCTCTTCACCTGCATTCAGGCACCTGTATTGTTAATTAAAGGGCCATGAAGTTTGTTTATGCAAAAAAAAATCTTTTTCATTAGGAGCTGAGACTTCCTTGATAGCATCTAACTAACTAAGGTGAAGATTTATATTTAAAAACTTATGTTTTTGATTAAAAGACCAATTCATACAGACAGTTAAGGTATTTTATGCATTGGATCAGTGGTGAAATCCAACTTTTTTTACTACTGGTGCTGTGGGCATGGCTTGATGGGCATGGCTAGGTGGGCATGTCAGGGGAAGGATACTGCAAAATCTCCATTCTCACCTCACTCCAGGGGAAGGATACTGCAAAATCTCCATTCCCATCCCACTCCCATCCCAAATACCAACCAACGTGGTATTTGCCGGTTTTCTGAACCACTCAAAATTTCCACTACCGGTTCTTCAGAATCTGTCAGAACCTGCTGGATTTCATCCCTGCATTGGAGCCTCCATCTGCTGGCCTCTGAATCTGACTATTTTTCATGCAAAATCTTGGATGTTGGAAAGGCCAAAAGCTAGACATCAGAGTGGTTGGCAAGAATCACATTAGGTACAAATGATCTAAATCTCTCTGTCATTCCTGCTGAGGGGGATGCTTCATTGGCAGAAGAGCTGAATCATTTCTTTGCTTGCTTTGAAGTTGAGACATCAGAAACA